AAATAAAATAAAAATTAAAAATTAAAAAAAAATAAAGGAGCTAGTTTTTTTAAAAAAATTATCTTAGATAAACATATAAAAAAACCATTTTTTATTATAAACATTTGTTAGAAAGAAAGAAAAATTAAACAAAGAACTCTATAATTGTATATTTCAAACTTTCAATTATACTATTGTCTGCGATGCAGGAAGAAGATGATGTATGGAGAGAGTAATATTTTTATTATTTTTTAAAAAAATATTTTGAAAGAATAATAAGAGATAAATATATGTTTATAAAAATTATTTTAGATTTCTTCGTTAAAACAATCTAAAACTTATTATATTTATCAAAAATTTCCACACAAAAAAAAGAAGAAGTTATAAATATTATAATATTGCAATGATTTTCAAGATCAGTACATTCAATAATATTTGACTTCTAAGTTTTAACAAAAAAAAGAAAGAAAGAAAAAGATGAAAGTGAAACTCACACTTGAAGCTAAATATGATAATATTTAGCAAAATAAATTGCTAATAACACTTGTATCACACAACTTTTGAGAATGAAATCATACTTTTTTCCTCCTTTTCAAATCACAATTTATTTTTCAACATTTTCTCTTCTCATACTTATCTATCTTTTAACCTACTATTTCTTTTCCCACACATTTTATATTTATCTTTTTTAGTTGTATAAACTCTTCTCTCCAAACTCTTTACATATCTCAAACATTTTCTTCTTTTAATCTAAAAAACATCTTTAAAAATATTTAGGGAAAAACTGTTAGTAAATAAATTGGATTAAACAAATGAGAGAAAGATTTATCTTTATAATTAATTCATAAAAAATTATCATGCTATGTTATATTTTATTAATATTTCTTAGTAGAAATGTTAGTTCTTAAATTTGTCATACCCTTGAGTATGTGACAAAGCTCATTATAAGTAAAATTTTATTAGTTATTTGTTTTATTATTTTGAATAATCAAATATAAAAGATAAAGAATTAAAATAAAAAAATTAAAAATTTAAAAGAATTATTTTTAAAAATAGTTTAGATAAGCATATATATAAAAAAAACTATTTATTTTATTATAAATGTTTTTTTTAGAAAGAAAAAACAATAAACAAGGAGTTCTATATTTATATCTTTCAATTGTATTAATAAAATTATTAGTCGAGTATAAATATTGAATATTGTCCATCATATTAGTGATGCAGGCTACCCGAGATATATATTTTGATCGTTGATTTTTTTTTTCCTTTTCAATTATATCTTGCTTAACTGATCATATTTTTTTAAAATTAAAACTATTATTTAACAAATTTTTAAAAATAATATTTTATAAAGTAAAAATAATTTTTTATAATTATATTATTGATATAAATTATTTATTTGTTTTAGTGTCGATAATTAATTAAGAAAAATTAACTAATTACTTTTTTGAAAGTTTTTTTTTTATCTCAATTACTTTCTTTTAATTCATCAAAAGATAACTTGGACAATCAAATGCTTGAGAATATACGCGAATAAAACAAAATAGAAGGAAGGCCGAAAGAGAAAACTCAAAATTCACATTAACATTGATTTATTATTCTTATATTATTATTATTTTATTTTCTGTGAAATCAGTGATAATTGTTGTATTTGTTTTATGAAGATATATATTTTTTTAAGAGGAATCTAATTTAATTTTATCTTATTCTTTATGAAAAAATAAAAATGTGATATAAAACTCAAATACAAATAAGAATAAATATTAACTGAAACAAATTAAATCTAAAGTATTTAAAACATAAATATTAAATATTGAAACAAACTAATTTATTCTTTCTTTTTTAAATTAAAAACATTTAGGTACTCCTCTATTCCCTTGTTGAAGATGCAAGCATGATTTGAGGCTTCCATCCTTCTCTTCAAATATTCCTTTCTCTCTTCTTCACAGCTCTCATCATCTCCTTTTGCCTTTGCAGTCCAGGCATCCTTCAATTGAAAGATGAAAATTCTCAAAACCAAAACTAATTTAGAAAAAAAAAAAAAAGGGTAATATAACATAAAATGTTTGAAATTTTCGATTTTAATTTGGGTAGCTTATCAAGAAATTTTCAATTTTTCTCTTTTTTTAAAAAAAATTATCCAAACAAATTCTAATTAAAATTGGATGAGATGAAAGTGAAAAGGAAACCCTAAAATTGAATGAAATGAGAATGAGAAGAAAACATATCGGACCTTAAACATACTCAATTCTCTATTTAGAAATTTTAATTAAAATCAAATGTGACAAAAAGAAACCCAAACATACTCAATTCTTTATTCAAAAACCCTTAATTAAAAACAAATGAAATAAGAGTGAAAAACAAACCTACATCAAACATATTCCATTCTTTATTTAGAAACCTAAATAAAAACGAAAGAACTGAATGTGAGAAAGAAACGTACCTCATTCAGAAAAGAGACCTTCATTAAATTGAAATCATGAAGAAGAGCTGAAATAAGGACTTTCACTTCCTTAGAAGGAGTCGATTCTCTGCTCTTTCTATCACTCATTTTCTTGTGTTCAGTATGGAGTCAGTGAGTTGAGTCTTTAATATATAGAAAATATTGAGGGTATACTTGTAACGGATTCGTAACCGATTTGATTGTATATAAATAAATATTTTGATTAAATTAACCAATTAAATCATTAAATTTTAATTTTATACAAAATAGTAGTTTATTTATTAAATTTATATAATATTTTTTATGATTATGAAACTTGTTGTTTACAATAAGGATTTTATGATATTTATTATTATTATTATTATTATTAAATGTTATGTTACCTTAATATTAATAAATAATAATAAAATATCAATTGTATGAATTTAATTTAATTTTCACATAAGCAAATATCAAAATATGAATAATTATATTTTATTTGATTTTTATTTTTAAAAGCAAATAAAGTCTTAAAAATGATAATAAAAAAAAATAAAATAAAAGAAACTAAACTGACACAATTAATGTAAAGACTTGTTCTTCAAAAGATAAATCAGTTAACTAAAACAAGCAACTCAAGTAATGGGGTAAGATTGGTTACAAACAAATTTTCTTATGAAAAAGAGACTCACGAATGCAGGAGGAGAGAGTGAGAAAAGCCTTGAAGATTAGAAAAAAAAATGACATGTGATTATTTTACATATGAAATAAACACACACTATAATAATTATATTGTCAATAATTGTATTATCAAATTACACAGCTATGTATTATTTATGTCTTGCATTTAGGTCTCATCTAATAATTTCTTGTATCTTTTATGTTAAACTTTCTTTACAACGGATTATGTGTAAACATGAAAACTTGATAGGTGTAATTATGGTTGGTATACTCCTCTTTACAATTTATATAATTTTATTGTTGGTGCACTGCAATTTGTTTTTTGTAAATCAATGATAAGGTTAAAGTTCATTAAATTGGAAACTACTGTGCAGTATATTTTGATGCATTATATTTTTTTTTTCTTTTTTTCTAATGAAATATGCAATAAAATAAAAAAAATATTTGATTTTATTTTTTATTTATGATTATAATGTATAGCTTGTTTCAATGTAGAATTTGTAATGATGAAAAAAAAAATTTAACTTATGAAATGATTTGTAATATTAAATAAATTTATCATATGTGACTGCATCCTTCCTCTTGTATTAAAGGTGGCCGGATAATGATATTCTTTTTAATCAATGGTTCATACCAATAGCCGGTAATTGGTTGATTTGTTGATTTTATTTATAATTAGTATTTTCTTCATAAATGTTTATTATATAAATATATAATTAAAATATTATATAATGATATCTAATATTATATAAATAGATATATAAATTATATTTTAGATTTAAGTTAAATATTTTATATTGTAGTACAAATTATTTTTAATCACTGATAGTTTATTTTAAAATATTAAAATTTAATTTATAAATTAGTATGATAAATAAAAAAAATTTAATTAAATAAAAAAGTTATAAAAATTCTTTAAAATGTTCCGGCCAAATAATAGTTTTTAGTAGTTTAATATATAGGATTATCTATTTTTAAAAATTTACAAATGAGATCTTTTTATTGTTGGCTGGCCTCCCACCTAGTAAGTACTATGATCCATGTCACAGTTGACTCTTTTGTTATTATTGATTTATATAAGTATTAAATTATGTAATAATTATATTTTATTTAATAATAAATTTTAAATATAAAATTTTTATTTAAATAGTCATAAGTTTAATGTTATTAAATTATATAATTATATTATATTTAAAAAAATAATATGATGTAATATAGCTAAATTATTAAAAAAATTAAAATATTTATAAAATACTATATCAATATTATTAATCAAATACCAAACAAAATATTTTTAAAATATTATATAGATTCTTAATATTTAATATATACATAAAATTCTAAATTATATAATATAATATTTAAGTTTAAATTTTAGGAAAATATAACAATGTCCACTAATAATAACAAGTTTACATATTGAATAAAAAGTATCAAATTAATATAAAAATAAAAATATTAAAAATTATAAATTAGCATATATTATTAAATTATATTTATGAGAATATATATATATATATATATAGTTGGATCAGTTCAAACTGATTTTTTTTTATCAATTTTACTAGTCTTAATTGATTTTGGACCGATTCTAATGATTCTTGACTGATGCGATACAGAAATTTTTTTTGGCCAAACTGTATCGATTAATTCTTGGTCGAATCTGCCTGATGGGGTGAAAACATTCATTGCCAGCAATGATGGTAAGAAGGGTCAAATATAAAATATAATATTTTATTTTTATGAAATCTTAAATTCTAATTTAGAAATTCTTTGTTTTTTCTTAACTTCAAATTTTTATACATTTTTCTCTCTTTGTTAGTTGATTGTCTAACATAGTTAATTTAGCGTTCACGTGTTATATTGATTCTTAGTGTGACTTGTTAATTGTTGATATACTACATATTATGCCACATTATTATTCTTATGCTACATTAGTAATTTATGTCAATAATCAATCCATTACATTATTATTTCATTTGGTCCTTAAAAGATCATTTGAAACCATTAATTATTGTGACCCTCTTTTTCCTTCTGACCATAGATATAATCAAGATGTGCATTTAGATTCCTCCTCGTTAAACATTCCTCTGTGTCTTCTTCACAATTCTCATTATCTATCTCTATCTTTGTAGCCCCAACATCCTTCAATTCAAACATAGCATTTCTCAAAACCAATTTAAAAATAAACATGTGATGATAAAATAACATATTTAGACTATTGTGTATCTCAGCCAAAATAAGAACAATTTTTTTAATGAAAAATTTAAGTGAATTGAATTACGAGACTTATCAGAATCAAAACAGATCTCAAGTTTCTATGAACGCTTGGAGAGATATTTCCATATTATCTACCAGTCATATTAATGAGATATGAAAAATCGAATTCATATCACATTCTTTTAAAAATACGAGTTTATTTTCTATTAATTAACCAACTTTTATGAGTAAAAACCAATTTTTTAAACAACACAAAAGGAAAAACCATAAACTAATGTGGATTAACTGAATGAAAGTAACGTACCCCATTAGAAGAGATAACGTTAAGTGAAGGATTAGGACGAGAGGCATGGATTAAATTGCAGCTCAGTAAAAGAGCCAAAGTGAAGAGGATGGCCACCTTAGACATATTGAGTCTCTATTTTTTTTATCACTCAGATTCTGAGTTACAATGAAATCTGGTTAGTAGAGCCTTTTATATGGACAAATTAATTGAGGATATGCTTTGCATTAAGAAAGCAAACACAACAAATCTCGAATTTTGTTGACTTTTCAATTTTCACAATTTAAAATGATTAATTTTAAATGAACAAATTAAATACCCATTAAAAATTTATTTTGAGATTATACTTTTGTGGATTTTTGTTCAACGTTACATTATTATTCATTAAAAAATTTCTTCTCATTCTATAATAAGTGTTTTGGAAACAAAATAATTCTAAATAAGGATTACTTTAAATTTTTAATAAAATATTAATTATTTTATTATATTTATACTCTTAATAATATTATTAGAATATTGTTATGTTGCATTGTTTCCAGAAAAGAATATTATTAATAAGATTAATCTTGTAACATTGATATACTCTTTTATATTATTTTTTTAATCATATTATTGTTGTGAAGTATTTAATTTGTTAGTGAGTAGTTTTTGTTGGAAAACTTAATTAACCACTTTTAATGAGATAATAACATTTTTTATTCATAATACTCGAACTTAAGACATTGATTAAGGGAATGGAGAATTGATATATTGCTTCAACTAGCGACTTGTTAGAAATACACTCTTTTGTTTATTTATTAGTTTTTCTTATAGGTATGTAAAAATATCTTAGGCTGACATTTAATTATTGTGAGTTAGATAAACTAACATTGGACATTTCTAAGAATAATTTGGATATGGATTTATCACTACAAAAAAAATGTGCTATTTGTGGCGGTTGTTTTGGTGGTTTCTGGTGGTTAAAATCGCTACAAATTGCATTATCGGCGTCATTAATAACCGCCGGATCTACGGTCGCAAAAACCGTTTGTGACGGATATTTTGTTAACGCTGGTTTTGAGTGCTAGAAAATTCAAACTTTTTCTCAAAATGCATTTTAGTTTGATTTGTTTGACATTTTCTGGCGGTTTTAAACCCTCACAATATTCATTTTAATTCTATCCAACTCAAAATTTCTGACAATTTTAAAACCCCCCACAAAATTATTATTATATTTATTTGTTTACATTTTGTGCCAGTTTTAGATTGCCAAAAATATATTTTTTATTTGTCTCGGATTTCAACAATTTTAAACCATAAAAAATACACTTTATTTTATGGTAATTTTTATTTTTAAAATATATTTGAAATTATTTTAAAAGTGCATTTTTATTATAAATCGACAAATAATATTCTATATATTTTAGGTATTTATCAAATTATTATTGAAAATTATCACTAACCATATTAATCATTAAAAATTAATAATGACTATATTATATTTTTATTTAGTTCAAGTAACTTATAAATAAAAATTTTACTTGTCAAATTCTAGGATCACTTATTTAGTAAATTATACCTATAATAATAATAATATTTATGTGTTTAGTATGTTTTTTATTCAAATATAATTACATAATGATACATTAAATTAACAACTTTTAACATTATAAAAACAAATCAAGACAACATCTAGCCATAGGTCTAGCATGACATTTTTTATTATTAAGACATTAAGATCCATCAATTTTAAAACATATCTAACATATTAAATAACTCAATCAAATTTATGATCAATGCTCAAAAGCAAAATATTTAAATTATCCCAAAATTAATCTTGCTTCAAATATAAAAATATAATGAAAATTTATGAATAATGCAAAACAAGAGACTATGTACTATCAAAAGTGTTTACTCAGAAACACTGCAGCTATGCACTATATATTATTAAAAAGAGACTAGATCAAGAACAAAAATTTATCTAGACTAGTTTAATTATTTTATCTAATATGAAACATTAGGAAATTTGGATTTCTCAACCAACTTACTTGCTTTTGTTGTATTCGAATTCAATGTGCAGACAATCTTCAATTCCAACTTCCATCTGTACAAGGTAAAATATTATGAAATATAATTAAGAAATAAAACTAGCCAATAACAGTTGAGGTAAAGCACAAGGCAATAAGCCAATAACCATTTAAAAATGGGTAATTAAAAGGAAATGATTGAGGTTGATGAAATAACTTCAATTTATTATTGCTTGAGTCATTGTTACTTTCAATTAACAGAAAGTTGTGGACGTGAATTACTACCACAGTTTGTACAATGTCAATGAATATGTGCTAGACGACATTAAAATTCAATTACCATGACAGTGCTCACCTTGATGCTATTGTTAATTTGTGGAGGCGGAGAATAGTTGTGAACCTGATAGATAAAGATAAAAAGAAAAAAGAAGAAAACATACAAGTTAATGAAAAAGGGGATACCTCGCCCATTAGTTACAGGGGATTGATCAAGACCAATTCTATTTTTGTCCTTAGGTGATGCTCCGAAGTGTGACTGTGTACTTTGTCAGCCTTCCTTTAATTTACCAACCATTTCACCTTGTTTTTGGTAATAAGAATCCATGGATAGTGACTGTTATGTTTACTTCTATTATCATCCCTGGAATTCCTGGGGGCTTTTTTCTCAATGGCATGAATATCCTCATTCAAGCCATCTCTATGAGATTTATCTTTGTGCACAGAGGCTTCACGAAGTGTTTTTCGCCATGCCTTATGCTTTCACCCTGTTTATCTATGGATCTTCGACCTGTTTATTCTGAACTAGATTTTTCAGGAAATGCTCGATTGAGTTCTTTGGGTAAGCTAACACTCGAATTCCAGATAAATCACTCATGCTAACAGAAATTTATCTTAAAGGTTTCAACACTGCTAAGTGATACCATCTTAAGATTAATTGAAGCTATGTCAGAAATATGTGAATTTTAATCACCTTGAAGGGTTCCCTCTTTCCTTTTCTTAAGGGCAGCCTCTTTCTTTTTATTGAAATTCTTCCATGGTGTAGCTGGACAAGGGAGTATAAGGCCATTCAATAAAATATTTCTATATTATAAACATCATTAAACTAAATACAGTAGAACTGGAAGGCTTTGACAGAAGAAAATAGTGGTGATAAGGAGGTGATGATGCCCAATATCAAGAAAAAACTTGAGTTGCTCATCTCAATGACATAAGAAAATAGCGATTTGAAATTTTACACTTAAAAAATATTACAGAAAAAATCAATCCATTAGTACAAGATACGAAGAAGAAAAAAAAAGCAGTTATTCTCAACAGCTGCTAATGCCTTTAGCTGACTCTTCATAGACGAGTTCCCTAGCTCTAAAGACAATGGCTCTTTTGCAAACAACATAAATAAATGAACAACTGGCCAAAACCAAGGAAAAAGGGCAGGGGAGATTCATACATCACACATGTATAGCAAAATAAAGTACAAGGACACAAAAGAGCATACCAATTACACTCTTGGCATTGCTTCGCTCCAAGAAAGTTGTCAGCCCCAAATCTCCAATTTTAACTTCTCCTTGATGACCATTGATAAATATATTATCACATTTCAGGTCCTTGTGTATAATCGGCGGGTTGTAATTTCCTTCGGAATCAAATTCAAAATTCACAATAATAAACAAATAGTCATATACATGAGGAGTGTGTGTTGAGATCTCACGCAGAAAATGGTGAAAGGCCAATATCTGATATATCATATAGCAGATAGCATCTCACACGATAATAGTGAAAGTTGCATAGCAGTTGAAATATATCATATACATCAACTATATATGTATAAAAAGTCAAGTTGTACACAAATAAAATGCTTAAAAAATCCACAATATTAACACAAGTTCAATCGATTCGAGACTAGACAGAGATGACAAAAGGATACAGGATGCATGCTGCAAACATGGTAGCCACAATAGTGTACACAATCAGCCAGAGATTGCGTTTGATTCTGTGACCCAGCTATAAAGCCATCAGCCAGAGAGTTGGATCTTCTAAGTTGTGGTTCTATTAAATTTCATTTTTCTCAAAACCATTTAATAATATATTTCATATGTGATCCATTCGCGGTATTGAAATTCAAAAAACAAAGGTCGTTAGGGATTTCAAAAATCGGAAACGCGAAGAGAAAGAGACAGTTTGCGGAGGTGGATGCGGGTTGTGCTTTGTTCTTCCTACCTAGGAGGAGTTTGTGGAAATGAGGGTTTTGCAAAAATCGAAAGCAAAAACTTGAAATTGAAACGTACCAGGCTTGCGAGAAGCTGACGTGTGCTTCACTCTCGCCATGAGATTCAATGGAAGAAGAAAACTAAACGAAACGAAGCTTCCTTCCGAATTGGTTTTCTTCAATTTCGCCTCTTGCTCTTGCATGTTGTTTTCTCTTCTTTTATGATCTTTTCTATTGTCAGTGAAATTGTGAAATTTTCAAAAGGGAGTAGCTTGCATCCATTTTGGCCCTTGCGTACTTACTGTTATTACCGGACTTCATTTTTTTAGTTCTGGCAGTTTAAAACGGCCAGAAAGTGCCAACACATAACAATTACCATTCCTGCGGTTTAAAATCGCCTTGGCATCCTTATCACAAATGTAACATTTTTTGGCGGTTTATGAAAATCGCAAAAAAAGAACCGCCAGTAATGACCTATTTTTTTTGTAGTGTATGAACTAATTTTATCTTATATCTTTTGTATATTTTCTCATTTTCAATATTTGGTTATTTGAAATGTATAAGGCTAAAGTATTTTTATTTATTTTATATTATTTTTCAACTACTTTTTTAACTCAAATTTCACTATAAAAAAAGTCTTTTCTCTATTTTTTTTTAATTGTTGTTTTGAGAAGAAAAAATGTGATCCTATTTATTTATGATTTTCAAAGTTTAATATAATATTATCACTCTTTTATACTTTTCACATAAATTTTAATTCATTTGCAGTTTTATAACTAGTCCTCATTTATTATACAGTAAAAGTTAAAAAGGGTACAATAGAAAATACCACATTTGTTCTTTTGCAATAATTGTTTAAGATTATTTTATAAAAAATAGATAAATTTTGATATTTTTTATTATACCATCTTTCATTTTTTTTCATAATAAATACATATTAGTTATCTTAAGTAAATTAATTAAAAATTTAGAGAAATATAAAATTATAATTGATAATATAACAATTAATATTATCTTAAAATTTAAAAATGACAAGTAAATAGAAACAAATTAAAAATTTGACATATAAAAAAGAAGGCATAATTGCGTTTTTGATCCTTCAAGTATTGTAATTGTGCAATTTTAATCCTCAAAGTTTTAATTGGATAATTTTAGTCTTTAAAAGATTGCAATTGTGCGATTTTGATCCTTCAATTTTTAATTGAACAATTTTAGTTCCTCAAATATCATAATTGTGCGATTTTAGTCCCCCATTAAAAATTTAATAATTTTAATATATATATATATATATATATATACACAATGTTTTAAAATTATAAAATTATTTATCTATTCAAGTTAACGCATATTATAATTTTCTTCAAT